AAATCTGCACTTTTGAATGAACCAACTACACTTGAAAACAAAAGTTTTCTGGTTTTGTAATCTGTATAAAATGAATGTGAGGTACAGTCCGTCCTGTCAAACGCGCATAACAACCATAAGCTTGACAAACAGTTTTGGAGAATTTGATGTTTCTCCATTCAGACAGAAAGCTCAAGCATACTGCCCGAGAGGCGTTTCAAAGATGGCCGCTGAGTGAAATGACTACCCTCACTGCTACTCTCAGGCAGACGGTTCTGCAGTATCCGATCACGCACAAGCCGGCTAAAGGAAAGTTTCTTCCCTCAGAATATCAGGCTGGTGTACACTTAACACACCCCACACAAACTCTTCCATACCCCTCACTGCACACCATCAATATGTAGCATGCACTGCACTTTAACCAATCCATACTTGAAACAATACTGCCTACAACTATGTGCACACCTATTCATTGTACATATCGATGTTAATTTTTACATTGTCCTGTTTGTTTTTTTGGGAGTATGCTGTTGTATTTTGCACTGTCGTTGTATTTGCACTGTCTGTATTTTGCACTGTCGTTGTATTTGCATCTGTATTTTGTATTGTCTGGAGCCAGCACCTAAACTTTTCACTCTACAAAGCACACGTGCTGCTGATGATGTGACAATAAAAATGATTTGATTTGATTTAAAGACACTTTGCTAGTAACCAATAGTAAACATTCTCTAAGCATTCTGTCCCTCTCCCTCTAAATACTTAATTTTTCTTCTTGAAACATCAGAATTTTGATGGCTCATCTAATTTATTGTGAGAAAACACAACAAAAGCAGCTCAGTTTTACTTCTAAAGAAATTTGGTGAACAAAGGCAAAGAAATTATATTTCCATATTAGTATATTGACCTTATTCTGCAATGCTGAAGTTTTCTCATTTTTGTTATTGTTTTCTAACCTCCAGTTTAGTTGCCTATGGGAGAAATGACTCGGAATAATAAACGTCAGAAAGCGGTCAAACTACTTGCTCTACAATCTCCCATACACTCAAAGAGCTCACTTGCACATTGCAAAATAAAGTAAATAAAAGCAAAAGTTCTTCAGCCTAACAGTTTCTCTGCTTTAAAATACATTATTCAATGTTTAAATCAAATAGATCGACTACATTTTGTTGTCTGTGCCGATTATTTTATACACCATGTATCACTATGCAGTCCAATGTGGAGCTTTTTGTGATACAAATGTGAAACCAGACCTCAATCCCCCCAAGAGAAAGCATATCTTATTAATTTTGAATGTTCCAGTTGCCAGTATGCTGACTGTGTATCCGTGTGTGTGTGTGTTTGTGTGTGCTCTGTGAAAAGGGTCTCAGAGAAGCTCAGAAGCTCTTCAGATTAAAGCATTTCCACCTTCAGGCTACTGACTGCTGTATTATTCTGCACACGGGCCTGTCCTGTCTCTGTTCCACTTCACACCTGCCTCCACTTCTAATTCTGCTTCTCCTTCTTTCCCTGCTGCTTTCATGTGCTCGAGCTGACACCAGTCGATTTTTAGAGACTTTTGAAAGCAAGATTTGATACCGGGTGCTAACTTTCAAACACTATTAGAGGGAAAAGACAGGAAAAAGTGATTTCATCTTTTAAAAGGTTTTAAATATTTGAAATACTAGTAGGTTAAATTCGGTGGCTAGTTTTGATATTTGTTTGTTTGTTTATTAATTCACAAAATATAAAAACAGTGTTAAAGCACTGTAAAAAAAAAAGTTATATAAAAAATGTATATATTTCTAGCTTGTTAATAATAGCTGTTGTACTGTACCATAGGATGCTAAAGACTACTCATGAAAATTTGTGTTTACTATCACAATTATTATTATTATTATTATTATTATTATTGTTATTCTGAATTGTTAATCAATAAAATGCTGCTGATAATAATAATAATAATAATAATAATAATAATATTACTAGTAGTTGTACTAATAATAACAAAATTAACAATAAAAAAAATTATTATTATTATTATTATTGTTGTTGTTATTGTTATTCTGAATTGTTAATCAATAAAATGCTGCTGATAATAATAATAATAATAATAATAATAATAATATTAATAATAATATTACAACAACTAGTACTAATAATTATAAAATTAACAATAAAAAATAATTATTATTATTTATTATTATTATTATTATTATTATTATTATTATTATTATTGCTGTTATTATAACCAATGTTATTATTATTATTGTTATTATTAGCATTTTATTGAATAAAAAATTAAACATTAATAATGATGATTACAATAAAAAGAGTAACTATTATTATTATTTAACTTTTTATTTAATAAAATGCTGATAATAATAATAATAATAATAATAACAACAACAACAACAACAACAACAACAACAATAAAACCATATTACTATTAATAATGACAACAAAATGTATAAAAACAACAATAATAATAATAATATTATTATTATTATTACTGTAATTATTATTAGCATTATGTTGAATAAAAAGTTAAACAATAATAACAATATTATTATTATTATTATTATTATTATCATCATCGTCAACATTTTATTGAAAAAAGTTAAACAACAACAATTATTATTGTTGTAATTAATATTAGGATTTTATTGAATAAAATAAACAATAGTAATAATAGTAATAATAATAATAATAATAATAATAATAATAATAACATCAGTTATAATAACACCAATAAAAAAAAAAATAATTTTCTTCATATTTCTCAGCTTTTTGAAGTCACCATTTGAAACCTGACAAACTCAGATGACACGAGAACAAATACAATGTCAAAATATCACAGACTGACTGCCGCCATTTCTGGGTTTGTGTGATGAGGTGACCTGTTTTGAAGTGCAAAGGAGAAAGAGACGGATATTTTGCTCAAGTGAAATGTGTCAAGCAAATCTGATAAAAGAACCGTGAATGTTCTGAACCTCAATGGATTCAGACAAAGCTTTGAACTACACAATCATAGTGATATACTTCAGGGACACACACATTTAACTAAATAAATAAATATGTCAAAGCATTTCGAGTCATTGTTCACGAATTTCTTTCTGAAGGTTTTTGATTGAAGCCTTATTTATCTTTTTAATGAGATTGTAGCATACTGAAATGTCAATCTCCACCAAAAGTTATTTAATGTGAATATGAAAAAAATATGTAATTTTCATAACAAGGTCAACTTCAAGTCAATGTCACAACTGAAAACTTAGCCAAGGCAAATTCATTTACAGTGGGGGAAAAAGTATTCAATACATCATGTTTTTTCCCGCCAATAATATTTCTAAAAGAGCTGTTGACATAAAACGTAACCATATTTTGGTAAAAACCCAAACAACACAAACCAAAAAATATAAAAAACATTTTTTTTTAATATTTATGTGTAATAACAATGGAATGACACAAGGAGAAAATACTGAACTACTGAAATGTATTTAATACTTTATATAAAAGGCTTTTTAAGTGATGGCAGTTTAAAGGTGACTTCATTCTCCATATGAGAGGCATATGAATTGCTCTGGTGTGAGTTTTTCCACAGACTTTAACAGCATGTAAAAGTCTTGATGGTTCTGTGGGTCTCATCTAATAAATCTGGCTGTGTTTTGGATTATTGTCTTGCTGAAATGTCCACTCTGATTTCATCATCATCATCATCCTGATAATGTACTGTAGATGTTGGACTGAAGCAGCTAATATTTATTTACAATGAGGAAGGGCAGAGGATTGCTGAAGAACTACTAAGAGATTTCAGCTGCTGTCTGGGCTTTCATTGCATTTCTGCACCTTTCTTCATGTGTTCAATACTTTTTTATATGCGTCATTTCATTTTATTACACATAATTTTATTTGTTAATTAAATTGGTTGTGTTTTCTTTGCACATATGGATTTCTTTGGTTGTTAACAACATCCGGTGAAAATTTAAAGTCAACAGCATCTTTAGAAATATGTTTTCTGAGACAAATGGTGACGTTTTCAATACTTACTCAAATAAAAAACAAATACATCAAATAACCATAAGTTCTTACTGTAGTCTTTCTCATTCTTATCTGTCACTGTGCTGTTTATCTGACATGAGTCGCAGCAAAAAATGGAGACATGCCTCAAAGCAATAGTAAGAGACCTCTATGGCTCTGACATGCCGTTGGCAGGGAGAACCAGCTCATTCGCCTTAAAGGCACAGGCAACAAAAAAAAAAAAACCATGTTCAGAAAGGTATAATGAATAATCTTTCTAGTGGACATCGAGCCGAAACTTTACAGACACATTCTGGAGACACAAAAGACTTATATTAAATCTTTTAAGAAGGGTAAAATAGGTGTTTAAGCGCAAGTGTTGTGCAATTAGGTTAGTTTTTGTTAGAAGAAACTATTAGTTGACCTAGTTAAACTAAACTATAGCTACACTTATTTGCAAATAGATTTAATAACTCAGAGTCAGAGGTAAGCATTCGTAATTAAGGAACAGTTAGCAGCTCTGGTTTCGATTCGCTGACAGATCTGTCACAAATATTGCTGCAAATTGAGAAAAAAAACTGTCGTTTTAGAACATTTTAGATTCTCCACAGCAGGATGAACTGCCAATTATTCCAACTACTAAGCCCCCAGTGCTGGGAAACACTTAGAGCTTACTTGCAAATTGTAAAATAAAGCTTTGCACATGGTAAAATAAAACTCGCACATTCTATTTTATTACACATAACTTCATTTGTAAACAAATTAGTTGTTTTCTGTGCATATATAGATTTATTTGGTTTTTACCAACATCTGGTGACAATTTCAAGTCAACAGCACCTTTAGAAATATGTTTTCTGAGACAAATGGTGACGTGTTCAATGCTTACTTCACCCACTGCATATAGCACATTTCATACACAATGGCATTTCAAAGAGCTTTAAATAAACAACAATAAAAGAAACATAAAATACAAGTATAAGAACATAAAAACAAAGAATAAAAGTGATTAAAAATGTTTTCAAACTCACAATGAAGCCCAGTTTTTTGTAGTCTCGGGTGTACATGGACTTGCGCTTCTCAATGCTGCCACTGTTGTTGGACTCGCATTCAACATCGAAAGCGATTCTGCGTAGCTCGAAAATAATGTCCCTCTGAGCCTAAACAAACACAGACAATAAATCATATCATTACTCATTCACAACATTCTGTATAACGACAATTAAACACCACAACAGTAGAGGTGTGAACCTACACTGCTCACACAGTTCGGTTTGGTTACGATTTTCATACCATCGATTTGATTCAATTTGACATCACGCTTTCTATACACAATTTGATATTTTACATTACAGCACAAGAATTCTTGTAATAAAATGTAAAATTTATAATTACATTTACATGTATTTTAAATACAATTTTGTCCTTTAATACAAGCAGTCAGATATGTGAACTGTACCTTTAATTTTACATCCTTTTGAATGTATTAACCAAAACTCCAGTACATGCACAGAACAACATGAGCATTTAAAGCAAATAAACAAACGCAAATATTATCCTGCCTGCTTTTTGAGAGTTACTGGTTGCTGTTCACCAAAGAGTGACACTGATAACTTTGACGCGGTGTAGAAAACTCGCTCTGCAGACGTGGTTGTGTCTGGATCCACAAGTAAACTAACACAATATAGCCTATATGACAGTGGTTCTCAAAGTGGGGGTCGGGACCTCCTGGGGGGTCCTTGGTAATTTACAAAAATCTAATAAATTTGACCAAACTTTTATGATTACCATTGTTAATCCATAACCTACAGAAGATAAAAAATAGTTACATAAAAAATACAATATCCAAACAAAAAGCCATCAGCCTTTGTTTATTTTTTTTTATTTTTTTTATTTATTTATTTATTTATTTTTACATTGATTGCAACCCTTACAATTTTAACATTAAATTAATGACTAAGCAATAGCGTCAGTGCACCAGATTTTACAGCACTAGCTAAACTTTTTGACACCGTTACAGCACTCGCGTACATTTAAAATACATACAGGACACTAAACATGGAGTATGATGTGTAAGTGGCAGTCTCCAAAATTAAACCAAGAAAAGACTTGGGACGTAACTTAAATATTGTGCCCACCAGTCTAATTAGATGAGGTTAATATAAAATAATAATAATAAAAATGATATGGGACTGTTGCACTTTTTTGTGTTGTCAATATGCTTGTGTTTATATAGGCTGATTGGTTTGTGTGAGTGTTGTGTGCAACGTTTGTATGATTATAACCACTTACGAAAATAGTGGGGGTCGCGAGTCATTGGCATTGTTATTTTGGGGGTCCCGGGCTGAAAAGTTTGAGAACCCCTGCTATATGAGATAAATGACGTCAATATTAACCGGTTCGGATCTATTACTAAACCGATACCGAATTGTCTGCATTTGCATCACCATACACAGAAGAAACAGTTCATTTTGACACCTCTACACAACAGGTTTTCCTCCAAAGAAACTGATATAGTAACAAGATGAATATTTCTCTTCTTTTGAAGTAATTGAAATCCAAATAAATATTTAAAGGGCATCTATTGTGCAAAATCAACTTTTGTAAGCTTTTTGGACAGAAATAGGGTTAGGAATTGTGTACACAGCTATATTAGAGTGGCATAAACACGTCAAGCCTTTAATTTAAAATTTCCTAAAATTAAACCAGGACCCAAAGTCCCAAAGAATCCATCCACCAATTGATTGACAGCCACATATTATGACAGTGAGCTTTCAGTTTTAAAATAAGGTAAGACTTTGCAAAGAGATGCTGATTTAAGGACTGATCTATTCCAACTATCTGCTAGCAACTGTCTTAGAGATCAGAAATGTGTTGTCATGCGTTTACTGTAAAGGCACATCGCTAGAAAAAAACTTTGACCCAAAAATCAACATTTTGCAGAAAAGTATGATAAATGATCCAATCTGTAATTTGAGCTGAAACTTTAGACACATTTTGAGGAAACCAATAACTTTTTTTTACATCTTGTAAATAGGGGCAAAATGCCATTTTTATTGCAGGTAGACTGAGCAGTGTTTTAACCTGGTCCTGAGGGTCCATTTTTGTCATCATACGATCTTCTAATAGGTTAAAGGTCAAGACTTGCAGAACATAGAGCTGGTGGGCCATTTCATCATTGATGGGTTTGTTGCTTCTGATCACATTCTGAGAAACAAGAGAAAGAGAATGTTAGACTGATAGAGACAGATACGGTAGCATAATTATAATCTTTACATTTCCATTTATTTTCCAGGCATTCAAAATTGGTCACGAAGATATATAGAAACTTCTATACAAGGGCTAAACATAACTAAGACAAATTATTATTATTATTATTAGTAGTAGTAGTAGTAGCAGCAGTAGTACTATGTTTATTATTAATAAATACATTTATTTATTACTTTTATTTTTTGTTATTATTATTATTATTATTATTATTATTATTATTATTATTGATGTTACAAAAATATGTTTTGCCTTTGTCTTGCATTTCAACTTGTAATCTCTTTGTTCAGAATGTTTAACATAAAAGCTGTAAAATATTATTGTGTATTTTTGTTGTTCAAAGGAAATAGTCAAGTTTGTTTTAAATTCATCAATAAATTTCTTTGATCTACATTTTTTTCCAGAGAAACAACTGTAATAATGATTATTATTAATAATAATAATAATAATAATAAATGTATTTAGTCTTATTGTTGTTGTTTTTGTTGTTGTTATTATTATTACTACAAAAATATGTTTTGCTTTTGTCTTCAACTTGAACCTGTAATCTCTTTGTTCAGCATTTTTCAACATAAAAGCTGTAAAATATTATTGTGTATTGTTGTTGTCCAGAGGAAATTGTTATGTTTGTTTTAAATTTATCAATAGTGCTTTCATATGCTCAATTTTTAATTCCATAGAAACAACTGTAATAATAATTAATAATAATAATAATCGTGAATAATAATAATAACCATTAATGTTTATTTATTCTTATTCTCATTGTTGTTGTTCTTGTTGTTGTTGTTATTCTTATTATTCTTATTATTATTATTGATATACATTTTATTTTTATTTTTTTATTACAAAAAAAAAAACATGTTATGCTTTTGTCTTACATTTTAACCTGTAATCTCTTTGTTCAACATTTTAATTATGAAAGCTGTAAAATATTGTTGCGTATTGTTGTTTTTGTCCTGTGTAAACTTAGATCACATTTATGGTTTAAAAACTCAACAGAAACAATTGTAATAATGATTAATAAAAATAAAAATTATTATTATTATTATTATTATTATTAATAGTAGTAGTAGTAGTACTACTACTACTACTACAACTACTAATGATAATATATTATTATTATTATTATTATTATTAATAGTAGTAGTAGTAGTAGTAGTACTACTACTACTACTACTACTACTACTAATAATAATAATAATAATAATAATAATAATAATAATAATAATAATTGTTGTTGTTGTTGTTAATGTTAATAATGACAACAATAAAAGTATTATCATTAGTATTTCTGCATTTATGTTGAAAAAACGTTGCTCAGATTATTGTAACCCCCCTGATAATTTGGAGCAGTTTTTCTCCATAAATCACAGTCAAACAGAAGCAACGAGAGAGAGAGAGAGATGTCTAAGTTCAGGCTGGCAGACTGCCACACTTCTCCGTCTATTTCTGTAGCATGTACTGCAATCAGTGCACTTACACTGAGGATGATGGAGCGCAGCTGCTTCTGTGCTAAAATATGAGCCATCTCCTACAAATCAAACAAAACACAGAGTCATCTTACTTCACTCACACAATATCAATCACCTCCTAAAAACGTATGAAACAGTTCAGTTAAACCACCTATAGAGGCTTCACCTCGACTAGAGAGCACTTACTGTGAGAGGACAATCAAGGATGTTCACATTGTCCCCATCAAACTACCATTATGAGCAAGGGCATGAAGTAATGAGAGCAATGAGAAAAAGGAAAGACAGAAACGAGAGAAAAGCAGAGGCAGTTTGTTAGGAGCACAGAAGTGAGAGGTCAGCAAAAAACAGTCCTGGACAAACTGTAAATTGACATTTAGGATACAAGGCAGTTACATGAGTCTCTTACTTAAAGCTGCTGTAAGCATTTTTGGTTTGTTTTGTTTATAGAAATGTCCAACTACCCTATGGATATCACAAAAATAGATCCACACCGCCTTGGGCTCTGGATACAGCTAGGACTCTATTGCTCAATCATTTTCATGTTCAGGTTCTGCTGTCGTCAAGTTTTTTGACATATCTTTGAAGAGCGGAGGTATTGTGGAGGAAATCATCCAATTCAGTGGCTGAAGAAAGGTTAGGTGAAGTTGCTTATAACAGCTTTAATTTTAACTTTGCAAAAGATACATAAAGTACAAAGTTATTTCCCTTATTAAGTCACAATCATTAGGTACTGATAACAAAAAAGTAAGAACTTTAACTTAATTTAATGGGCAAATAAGTTCACTATCTAGTCCTTAATTTATCTTCCATATATATATATATATATATATATATATATATATATATATATATATATACATACACACACACACACACACAGTACACACACACACACACTCACTGGCCACTTTATTAGATACACCTGTCCAACAGCTCGTTAATGAAAAAAACCTAATCAGCCATTCACATGCATGACAGCAACTCAATGCATTTAGGCATGTAGAAATGGTCAAGACAATCTGCTGCAGTTCAAACAGAGCATCAGAATGGGGAAGAAAAGGGATTTTAGTGACTTTGAACTTGACATGGTTGTTGTTGCCAGACAGGCTGGTCTGAGTATTTCAGAAACTGCTGATCTACATCCTGCATTGCATCAACCATTCAGGCTGGTGGTGGTGTAATGGTGTGGGGGATATTTTATTGGCACATTTGGGCCCATTAGTACCAATTGAGCATTGTGTCAATGCCACAGCCTACTTGAGTATTGTTGTTGACCATGTCCATCCCTTTATGACCACAGTGTACACATCTTCTGATGGCTACTTTAAGCAGGATAATGCACCATGTCATAAAGCGGTAATCATCTCAGACTGGATTCTTGAACATGAAAATGAGTTCACTGTACTCAAATAGCCTCCACAGTCACCAGCTCTCAATCCAATAGAGCACTTTTGGGATGTGGTGGAACGGGAGATTCACATCATGGATGTGCAGCCGTCAAATCTGCAGCAACTGCATGATGCTATCATGTCAATATGGACCAAAATCTCTGAGGAATATTTCCAGTACCTTGTTAAATCTATGCCACTAAGGATTAAGGCAGTTCTGAAGGCAAAAAGCGGTCCAATCGGGTATTAGTAAGGTGTACCTAATAAAGTGGCCGGTGAGTGTACATATTAATTAAAATGGCTAAAATGGCAATAAAAGTCACTTTGTTAAACTGAAGAGACTACAGAGCAGAGATCAACATCCCATAATGCAATTCACAACCATAAATTAACAGAAAACATTTGTGAATCACAAAATACAAAACTGTTAATTAACAGATATTTTTAAAGTGTTGTTTAAATAGTGGAGCTATTAATGAAGCACGGTTTGGTCAACATGGAAAAATTGACTAGCTTGAATTTGGGGAAATGTTTATTTACAGCTTACAATAATATAGATTTCTATTGAAAAGACTGGGCATCTCTGATGAACAATATTAAATATGAACGAACATTCAACCCCCACTCATACTTTTTTCTTTAGTGTTCCTCATAGGTCAAAATGACTAAAAGGTCAAGTATAAATATTAAAATTAAAACAAATGGCCAAATCTAAGATTTCTGGATAAAAAAAAGAAGTCTTATTTCTTTTATTTTGTCTGGAATAAGATCATATTGGGTGGTGTGGTGGCGCAATGGGTAGCGCTGTCACCTGGTTGCCGGTTCGAGCCTTGGCTGGGTCAATTGGCATTTCTGTGTGGAATTTGCCTGTTCTCCCCATGTTTGTGTGGGCTTCCTCCGGGTACTACAGAGGAACATGTCCCTCACAAGTCCAAAGACATGTGCTATAGGTGAATTGGGTAAGCTATAAATAAGAATGCATGGGTGTTTCCCAGTTATGGGTTGCAGCTGGAAGGGCATCCGCTGCGTAAAACATATGCTGGATAAGATCCGCTGTGGCGATCCCAAATTAATAAAGAGGTTAAACCAAATGAATGAATAAGAATGAACCTTTTTTTAAAGGTTAATACGGGCAATATTATTAACACCCTCAAGAATCTTTTTTTACTCGATTGGCTACGGAACAAACCACTAATGATCTGACAAATTAACTTCATTAATAACTAGTAAAATTTTATGTACTATCATCACAGCAAAGCCAAAAGAAATTAGTTATTAGAAGTTAGTTGTTAAAACTTTTATTGTTTAGAAATGTTAAAATAATGTTAAAATGTTATGTCATTTCTCTGTTACTTGGGAAATATTTAAAAAGAGTGACATTTTACTGGACAAGAGTTCAATTCTATTTAATTTACAAAAAGTTCAGATGGCAGCATGTACTGTACACTTGACCACACTAAATTGTTGAGAGTGAACACCTCTTTATAAAGCCACAAAACAGCATGGTTTTTAGTTCTATGTTCAAATTTCTAATATCAACAACCTGCTTTATTCAAACTGCAGTCATTCAAACATAAAATATCTGATGTTTAATATGCAATATGATGTTGATTCCTGCACATGCAGCAGGAATTTAAACCCATTGGGCAGAATATTATGTGTTTGTGTTTATTGACAATCATAGCTTGTTAGAACGAAAATTTAGACAGACAAGCAGGAGATTTGCTTGACATTTTCTCACATCATGCCTAATGAAGACGGTGTCATTATTTAGTCTAGGCGACAATGAACAACTGAAAAAGCACATAAAAAAGGATTTGTTTGTGTGTGTGTGCTGTACCTGTCTCTTCTCCTCTGGGGCTTTGAGGAACAGTGCATTAATCACTGCGATGGTGTAAGTCTGAATGTCCTGATCCGTTCTGGTGCCAGAGAGAACAAAAATGCAAATGACTATTAAAGTATACTATTAAAGTAGCAAATAACAACAACAACAAATAACCAAAAATTTCATTGTTTGCCTAGTATTGCATATATAGTGTAAATTGAGTATTTTTATATGCAGTTATTACTGGCAATGCATTAAAACATGTGTTGTTCTTGCTGTTGGAGTATCTGAGGCATGTGCTATTCTTATGGAAGGGGGCAGGGAGCAGCAGCTCATTTGCATTTAAAGAGACACACCTAAAAAAAGGGAATTTACAACTGTTTAGTAAAATAAACAGTCCATGGGGTAATTTTAGCTAATACTTCCTTAACACACTTTGTGGCCCTCAATACTATATTGCGTAAAAAAGTGGGTCAAAGTAGGATCCATCTAACTCAATTTGAAAATGACAATGCCAAGAAGCTTCCAACTATTCCTGGTCCATACCCTTGCAGATGGGGGATGAGCTGGCCGATGGTGATTTCTTGAGCCACCTTCTGGTAGAGATCTTGACTGTTGAGGACCATTGATTCCAAGATGGCTAAAGATCTCTGGAGCACAGCAGTGTCCATGGCTGATTTACACACATAGCTTGCAATCTGAGGACGAAATGGAAGAAGCTTCAGTTGGTTAAGTAGATTGCAAGGAAATGTGGATTTTGATTGTTTTAAAGATAAGAGTGGCATTAAAATAAAGCATGAACAGCAATGGGAGTTCATTTGTAGGCTGAAAGTAGCTTTTTTTTTCTTCTGTAGACTGTATTTAAGCTTAAAAAGGTTTGTTCAGTTGCGTATAATCATTACAAATTATACAAATTATTAAAACTTTTTTATAATAATTAAATAATTATTACAAATTATTTTATAAAAATCCAACTTCAAATCCAAATATTTTACTGTATAGGCTTTAAAAAGGTTTGTTCATTTGTGTATAATCATTACAAATGTATAAGAATTAGAGCCACGGTAGTCTGGATAAGCTAGAAATGTATTTTTTAATCCCACAATTCTACAAACAAACTTATAAAATAAGAATGTTTTTTTGTGACTACAGGTTTGGTCAAAATGTTACTTGCTGCAAACCATTTATTCAAACTAATATTAAAAATTTCAATTGAGTTCAGATGCAAAAGCCACTTCCGCCAAAAATTAGCTAATGACATTAAGCAAATACTTTAGGCACGTAGTACAATTAACAAAATTTTTTGCATCAAATCATCTGAATCCCAGTCTCAGCGCATTATGAAATAATAGTTTGTGTGCAAAAGCCTCTAAACGCCTGAAAGCAAAAGCTGCTATGCCCCATGAACCAATCAGAAGCCGTGAATCGAATCATGTGTTTTGAATGTAATGGTGCGCTGATACGCCGGCTTTTATGAGGAGACTGTTTTATTTTTGGTAAAATAAATTTGAATTGCATTTTTAGTGATTTTTCAACTAATTACAGTCTTGGTGGATTACAAGTTTTTGCAAAAAAAAAAAAAAAAAAAAGCAGAAGTGGATTTAGCTGGTTTAGATGCAAAAGAAAATTTGCCTTGTTAAAAACCAGAGAATTGTCTAAAGTGACATTTTTGGAAAAAAAAATAATAAAAAAATTAAATATATATATATATATATATATATATATATATATATATACACCAGCTAACAACCTTAATTATAATTATTAATAGATTATTATCTATAAAATAAAACTTTTGTACCTTATCAGAGGAAATGCTCATTTACAAGAAAAGAGGTCTGATGGGTTTAGAGGGTCTTCTCTTCAATTCAAGTTTTTTTTTATATTATTTTGAATATATTATTTAACAACTCATAAGAGAAGAGTTATCATTTCATTACTGAATAAATCAGCATTTTTGAGGAATCACTTGAATGCATTACTCAGTGTTACATGCCTGGGGGAGTTGCTCTGTTGTTCCCTCCTCCCCTTTCCATTTTTTATTTGCTGTCTGCTGTTGTGTTCCAATTAGCTTGCAGAGTTTTCACGAGTGGACCAATCAGAAGAAAATGGGGGTCATTTAATCGATCCAGTGACAACTCGGACCAGACTGGGTGGGCACTCTTTCATTACTGCTCTGTCTTCCATGTGACATTTGTGTGCCTGTCCTATTCTTTGGTTCGCTTCAGTTTATTTTGAGCTGTACATCTATTCTGAACGTTTAAACTAAATCTGCTTAAATCTACTAAAAGGGAAGTATGTCACGTGACTTACATTTTACATACACATAGCTGATTGTTAGTCCAGTAGGTTAGAAACGGGTGCTACCCTTTGTATGTTTTCTCCAGTGAATGCAGTTTAGTGAGGGTCGTGTGACGCCGAAGACATTTTTTTCTATTTTCAGATTTCCCTTTAGTTATTTAGAGGTGGGGAGGGTTTAGTTAGCGAGTGTTTAATTTGTTATTTTCTTTGATTTAGCACCGCTTATTTTCCTTCACTCTATCAGGTTTGTTTCAATTGATTTGTTTGCTTATTTTGCATTTATTGTACACATTTGTAAATATACTTTGGATGATTATTTTTTCCTTTCTGATCTTTATTGTAAATAAAGCAAACCACTCTTTGCCACGTCCATTGTCTGTGTTGATCCATAGCAGCTAACATCTCGGAAACTCATTAAAAAATATTGGGTTTGCATAATTATGTTTAGCCCATTTCATCCACCGAGCCACACGAGGCGTAACGCTCAGTGACAAAAAAAAAAAAAAAAAAAACTTTCATTCTTGTGAAAGTAAAATCCAAATTTCACATGATAAAAACATTAGAGGGCGATGTCTACTTTTTTAGATAGGATATATTTTGTTGTACTTTTCAGAAACACGCCCAGAATTCTTGTACACGCCAATGGGCTTGTTGTACCTAGTGAACCACCGACCTTAACCCTTCTCTAAACCCAACCAATAGTGTTTTCAAAAGCAAGATTAAGAGAAAGGCAGACTAAAAAGTGCAAATAATCATATATTCGTCAATCATTTATCCCCATAAATCTCAGTAGTGCGAAAAGGAACAAAAGTTGTTCCCATCATATGGCAACATAGCATTCATTTTACTTAGAAACTGCAGCCAAACCGTGTTTAAATACGTTTTCGTGGTTTCACAAAAATGTAGGCTGAAGCTTGTATTTCCAACGCGCCCATGTTAAAAAAAAATGTAATAGCTACTAGTCCCAACTTACTGGCGTAACAATGTAATTCCTTTAATCTTCATTTGAAGAATCAGCTGCTTTCAGAAGGTGAGTTAGTCACTAATGTAGATATCAGCATGTATATTTTAACTCTGAACTGCTATCTTGATACTTCGAAGAATTTTTACAACACAGAAATAATCATAGTGGGTGAAAAGACTAAATAACGAAGCAGTTTAATAACCTTAAAAGATTTAACAGAATATTTTTTAATGATTAATTGAGCAGCTCTAGTAAAAATCTAACATAATTTTCCATTCAATTCAATTAGTCTTCATTTCTATAGCTTTTACAATGTAGAATGTAGATGTGTCAAAGCAACTTAATATAGATGAAGTTCTAGTAAAGTGAAACTGCTTTAGTCCAATTTTCACAAGCACAGTTTAATTTAGTGTAGTGTAAACGTCACTGCAGAAGACAGAAATTAACACTAATTAGTTCCGTTTCTGTTAGCATTTATCATTTCTATTATTATTATTGTCTCAAAATATCCACCAGGTTTTGCCAACTCTCGGATTGCCCTATGTAAACACATTCTCTATTTGGTACCCCATTCATGAAAGCATCAACTCTATCTGAAAAGCCTTAACATGGACGCACCTTCTTGATAAAGGCCACAGAGAAAGTGTCCCAGGAGACGATGCCGTGGTCCATGAGCTCCACAAAAGCCGTCAGTGTGAAGGAGAGCAGGTCACCAAAGCTAGAAAAGACAAGACAACAGCCACTAGCCACGTCTCTACCGCTCACCTGCACTGAAGAACAGCTAAGCCTTGGCCTCACAGAGCGGCAGAGAGCGAAAGGATAGAAGAAGTGCTGCAGCTGGAGAACAGGGGGACACCGGCTCTCTGTCCTTCACTACAGCAGCACAAGCAGCAGTGGGATTACATTGGCAGAAACAGTCAGTGGTATCATGCAGCAGTTTGCGTCGGACATTGTGATTATGATGACTACAAACACAAGAACATGTTTTTGATGGTAATAGGTTAAATACAACTGGAGAGTTGAAATATATATAAAACATTCAATCATTTACTCCTTCTAGCAGTTTCATACCTCTGATTTCTGTGGAATTCTGTTTTAGTAGTCTTAATATTGTAAATTAGTTTAAAGTTTAATATTAACTTTAAGTTTCAGTTTAATATTATATTAAGTTTTTATATCTAAAGTTTATTTTGTTAATATAAATTAACCAAAATTATACAAATAATGATGACATTTTAATTGCAGTTAAAATGTACTCTTAAGTAATCTTAATACTGTAAATTAAAGTTTTAATGTTAAATTCCCTAATTTCATTATTTAATTTTTCATGCTAATTATTAAAATCAGTTATTATTTTTATTTATATTATTATTATTATTATTATTATTATTATTATTATTATTATTATGTGGAATTCTGTTTAGTAATCCTAATATGGTAAATTAAATTTTTCATATTTTTCCTTGCTTTCATTTTCATTTATTTTTTATAGTATTGTAAGTTTAATATTATGTTAAGATTTTCCATCTAACAATTATTAGTTTTAATATAAATCAACCAAAGCTACAAATATTAAATAAGCAATTTAATTGCAGTTAAAATGGATTAGAAAAAAAATCTCCAGGTCGGCTGTGTGCATGTTTGAAGAAATATTTATTATTATTATTATTATTAATAATAATAATAATAATAATAATATTAATTGGCGAGGCAGTGGTGCAGTAGGTAGTGCTGTCGCCTCACAGCAAGAAGGTCGCTGGTTCGAACCTCGGCTCAGTTGGCGTTTCTGTGTGGAGTTTGCATGTTCTCCCTGCCTTCGCGTGGGTTTCCTCCGGGTGCTCCGGTTTTCCCCACAGTCCAAAGACATGTGGTACAGGTGAATTGGGTAGGCTAAATTGTCCGTAGTGTATAAGTGTGTGTGTGTGATTGTGTTTGTGGATGTTTCCCAGGGATGGGTTGCAGCTGGAAGGGCATCCGCTGCGTAAAAAGTTGCTAGATAAGTTGACTGTTCATTCTGCTGTGGCGACCCCAGAATAATAAAGGGACTAAGCCGACAAGAAAATGAATGAATGAATAATATTGTTCTGTGGATTTCGGTTTAATAATCTTAATATTGTAAATTAGTTTAAAGTTTTAATGTTACATTTTCCCTATTTTCATTTTTATTTCATTTTTCATATTTTATATTTATTTTAAGTTTAATATTATATTTAAGTATTTCAATCTAACATTTATTTAGATGGAAATACTTAATTCTGTTTAGTAATCTTAATATTGTACATTTAATTGAAATTTTGTATATTATTTTAAGTACACTGCGCTTTATTATTATATTATTATATATTATTGTTATATTATTATTATTATTATTATTATTTATTAATATTCATAAAAATAAGCATACTATTGTGCAATATTATTATATTATCGATATTAAATATTAATAATCATCATCATCATAATAATTATTAAAAGAACACTATTGGAACATACAAAAATAACAAAAACTAACACTTTGGAGCATACAAGTTATGTAAAATACTGACTTATGTAATATAAAAAACATTACAGAAGATGGGAACATGTAAATGATGATCGAATTAAAACTATGTTTGTGCTAACTTCTATAAAGAGCATCTGCATCAGGCTGTTGTTTACCACAGAACTTTTTTTGTATCTATTGTAATTGAGTCTATTGGTCAGCATACAACCATACCACCGATGCTGACAAAAACAGTGTAATAATTTGTAATAAACCTAAAATAATAGCTTTAAGTAATATGACAGACACTTAATTACTTCAGTGTCCTGAGCTCTTTTAAATCAATTAGCATCTCATTACAATCCCGATTTAGGGCTTGAATAAGGTTGATATAATGAATAACACTGCCCCCTATCGCCACAAAGACCTCAGTTCATGCCTTTCCATTAATTATCATCACGAAAACACAAGGTGGAACAAGAAAACTTACAACATAACATTAAAAAGCCAGCTTTTGAGCAAAAATGAAGAAATAAATTAAATAAAAGTTCATTAAAAAATTCTAAAACTAAAAGTAGACACATCTGAGGGTAAAAATCATAAATACAAATGATTACATTTAAAAAATAAAAACATACAAAAACGGCCTGCATTGAGCTTAGTGTTCATTATTTAAAAGCAGCATGGAGTTGAAACAGCTTAAGTTAGTCCTCAAAATAAAAGAAGACATTAGTTTGAACAGCAATTCATGAATATACCACTGGGAGCAAGAAGTATTTGCAGCTGGAATTGGGCAAAACCCTTGAAAAATGACCAGTGACATGGAGAGATGATGAATTATCATAAATGGATTGTTAGTCAATGAAATGGCATGAGATTCTGGCTGTTATGACAACCAATCATTTTAGAGGGATCCCGGGCAACAGGATTTACACTGTAAAAAGCGGCTGACTTTACCATAAAAAGAAGTGAGTATAGCTGCGTATAATAAACTATGTGAATTAAAAATATTAAGTTAAAACAACTTTTATAATATATAATTATTTTATTATAATAAATATAATAATACAATTATAATGGGTTTGTTGACTTTATTAAGTAATGTCAACTTGTCACTTTTTACAGCACACGTTTAAAGAAACTTTTTCTGTTGCCTTTAAAATCAACTATGTGAATCACAAAAAATTAAGCTGAGTCAACTTATCAGTTTAAATTACAATGGGTCTACTCTCTAAGTAAAGTCAACTTGTCACTTTTAAGGCAACAGGTTTAAAGTAACTAAAAGCTTTTCTGTTGCCTTAAAATTAGCTATGCGAATTTAAATAATTAAGTTGAGTCAACAGTTTCAGTTACAATGGCTTCACTCTCTTTTCAGAAATAATGTCAACTTGTCGCTTTTAAGTCAACAGGTTTAAAGTAAAGTAACTAAAAGTTTTTCTGTTGCCTTAAAATTAACTATGCAAACTAAAAATATTAGGTTGAGTCAAAAAACAGTTTCATTTACAAGGGGTTTACTCACTTTTTAGAAGTAACTTTTAAGGCAACAGGTTTAAAGTAACTAAATGCTTTTTACAGTGTCAGAAAGAAGTATTGTCAACCATTTAAAATAATACAATTAAGACTCCAATACACAGAATAAACTTCTCCAAAAACCCAAGCAAAATCTAACCCGAACCGATGTGTGAGATTAACTGCAAAAAAATCAGGCTAAATGAAGTTTGTTTTGGAGTTTGAAAGATTCAAAAGAATGTCTATCATTGATTCTTTTTTAGTTTTGTTACTTGCGTTTAGTTTGTTAACAGATATATTTTCAGTATAAATATTAAAGCTGAAAAGCAGCTTTAAATTGAAGTCTAATTCTATTTGAATGAAATATTGATATCGTTATTTAGGATTAATACTCTGTGCGTTTCAAAGCCATCTACTGTTTAAAATAATTTTTTTTTTTTAAATGACAACTTTACTTGACTGTCATGTAACTGTCTTAATTGTCATTTATACAAAATAATAAAAAATAAAGAAACCACTAGACAATTCTCAGTTTCTCTGGATTTACAAATTACAGTTTTGAGTTTTAGTAAAACATGATTTTTTTTGTTTTATCCTGAAAACCACTAAATAACCTTTCTTCTAAATTTACAATGTATGCATACAAATTACAATAAGTTTATATATATATATATATATATATATATATATATATATATATATATATATATATATATATATATATATAAACAATATATTTTTTTTTAATTTAAAGTAAATTTTCATCAGACCTTTACCATGGTTTCTGCAGGTTTCATTAAGTTAAATTTAAGACTTTAAGACTTTTAACCCCATTATGAATGTGATTTTATACTTATACGGGGCTAAACACTAAAGATTTTTGGTAATGACCCAGTTGGATCAAATTAGAATTAGAAGAAAAACGAAATGTTGTTATTTCTTAACCACATATTTTGTTGTGTTGAATGTATATTTATTATGAAGTTATTATGACGAAAACTAAATGAATATTCAAAAAATATATATTTGTTTGCTTTTGGTGCAAATGAACCGAGTATAACTCCTATTCAACCCAATTCAATTCTGTTATGAAACCTTAAGTTATCATTAGAAACATTATGTTCACTCATACTTTCTTCTTTAAATAGTTTTTGTGTAAATGGAAGACCATGTAAGGGGATATATTGCTATGATTATCATGAGGAATTGTGTAATTGTTTATAGTTTTCTTTTCCTGATTAGGGAAACAATTTTCTGCAAAATTTCTAACGGCTGTTGTGAAATAATTAGATTTTTTTCTTCTTCTTTTTTATATTTCCCAAATTATAATTTACCAGAACAAGAGAATTTTCACAGTATGTCTGATAATATTTTTTCTTCTGGAGAAAGTCTTATTTGTTTTATTTCAGCTAGAATAAAAGCAGTTTTCAATTTTTTTAAACACCATTTTAAAGGTCAAAATTATTAGCCCCTTTAAGCTATATATTTTTTTTGATAGTCTACAGAACAAACCATTGTTATACAATAACTTGCCTAATTACCCTAACCTGCCTAGTTAACTTAATTAACCTAGTTTAAACTTTAAATGTCACTTTAAGCTTTATAGAAGTGTCTTGAAAAATATCTAGTAAAATATTATGTACTGTCATCATGGCAAAGATAAAAAAAAAATCAGTTATTAGGAATGAGTTATTAAAACATTTATGTTTAGAAATGTGTTAAAAAAAATCTTCTCTCCTTAAACTGAAATTGGGGGAAAAAAATAAACAGATGGCTTTTAATTCGGGGGCATGAGGGGGGGGGGATTAAAAATTCTGATTGCAACTGTATATATATATATATATATATATATATATATATATATATATATATATATATATAGATAGATTGTTGGTGATTGGATGGGTGTCCTGATTGGGAAAAATTACTTTGACAACTTTTAAAATTAATACCTGTTTAAAATTATTTAAAAAAAATGTATTTAAGGTATTTTAGGACTTTAAGACCCTGCGGAGACCGAGTTTACAAATCAAAACAAATATTTATTTTTACTTAAACACGTTTACAACAGTAAATCCAAAACAAACTGAGAATGTTCAAGTAGCCTCTTATTTTTTACAAACTAGCAAATTTACAAATAAATCTAAAAGGTATACCATATTAATTTAATGGTACATAACCGCACATGTATTTTAAACTTCACTATAAGTACATCAGAGCCTTTATATGGAAATATAATCAGATAATCTGTCATTTTTAAGGAATAGAGCAAAAACAAAAATGATAAAGTTTTCCCCAAAGGTGGTTAATGCAAAGCTCTCCCCCCTAAATCACCACTGTTGCCCAATACCACATGCAAAAAGAAAGAAAGATAGCCGATTTTGGTTACATGGAAAGAATCATCCAAACAAAACCAACAAATCATCAGAAAAAAAAATGGAAGTGACTGCAGCAGTTGCCAAGTGTATCCATCGCTTTGATTGGTTTTGAGCACTGAGGCCGATCATGCAGAGACTCGGCCCGCAGATTAGAGGGTAAGTGTTTATCCAGCTCGAGGGAAGGGGGGCTTACCAGGGCTTCATTATCTTCTGTAGTTTCTGATACCGTCTGAAAAGATTTAAAAACTTTGACGTCAGGGAGACACGTACACACAGTCAGGGTCCAAATATTTCCTTTATGAACCCATTATGACAATTACACTCTGCGGGAAAACCCATTTGTTATTGTCACACAAGTTTTAAAACAGAACATTTTAGTCATCCGAATGAGGCATGAGCTGAGAGAGAAACACAGCTTAAAGTAAAAATATATACTTTGAGACACAAAGCATGCAAAGCAGAACATCGGGAAAAGCAGAGTGCAAACAAACACATTTTTTAACGCACAACATGTGCTTAACTCCCTGCGGTGGTTATGAGCAAGTGTGAAGGATTACATAAAGTATTTATTACAAATCATTGTGTAGTATTTCTCTCATTTATGACTCAAACGTGGCTCTTGTTGGTCCTGTCAGCAGGGCTGTAATTCACTGAAATGACTCATCATGTTTGGTCATTAAAAGCTGAGGGATGTTGACTGTTTGTTGTGTCACTTTTGACCCTTATGACTTGCACTGAACTTTAAACTTGTGATTTTTTTATTTCCAGAATGAAGGGTCATTTATTTTGTACAACTATAAGTCAACTGATAACCGTTTGACAAGGCTGGTGTAAATAATCAGACACAAAACAAAGCAAATCGGTAAGCAAACTAATTTAACTAATCAAATTACTAGTTAAAATTGACTAGTCAAATGTCTGTAAAAGGTCACCTGAAATTAAAATAAAGTTTTTAGATGTTAGTATCAGTATTATTTGTTTTTAGGATATCTATAAGCTAGTGTGCTCTAAAACAGTGACAAACTTTGCATTTAAAATAATTAAAACTGATATAAACCTCCACCCAAATAGATCAACGGTTTTATCATCACATCATAACCAATCAAATGCTCTCTAGTATCTCAAATACTCCGCCCTCTTCAAGACGCTTCTTATTTGCTTTTCATTTGATGCACTTGAGCTCAACCATTCTTACTGGCAGAGCTGTGATAAAAACAAAACACCATTGGCTGTCCCCTTAAAAAGGGGAGGGGCTACAGTACTCTCTATCCATATTTCAGTTGAGATTACATCAAACATTGAATAAAAATGCACAATTCAAAGCACTTCACGGGACCTTTAAAATTCCACACAAAAATCACCAAAAACTTGCCAAAAGTAAAATAAACTACAAAAAATAAATAAATTCAAGAATGTACAAAAAATGTCCAACATTTTAAAAACAATTTTGATGGAAATAGCTGTTTTCATGACTATGCTAATGCACAATTATCGCATGGGAACAAGTGATCCATTTAAAGGATAAAAAGATTTAAGCAAATAAAGCAAGATGGAAACAAATGTGCTGAATAAACTCTGATGTATAGAGAGAAATACACCCACCCCTGCTGGAAAAAAACAGCTTAAACCAGCCTAGTTTGGTTGGTTGGTTTTAGCAGGTTGACCAACCTGGTTTTAGAGGGGTTTTGGTCATTCGAGGCTGGTTTCCAGCCAGGTTTAAGCTGGTCAAGCAGGGAGATGACTAGAAAAAAACAGATTGACCAGCCTAAACCAGCTATGTCCAGCTTAAACCAGGCTGTTCAAGCTAGTTTTTTAGCTGGAAGCCAGCCTGGAAATGGCCAAAACCCTCTTAAAACTAGCTAAGACCAGCTAAAACCAGCTGAAACCAGCCCACCATCTTAGGCTGGTTTAAGGTGGGTTTTTTTTGTTTTTTTTAGCAGGGACGTGACTTTATTATGCTTGCCTTGTGCATTGTTGGTTGCTAGATTACCAATACTACAATCTGCTGCTCTAACAACTAACCTAATTTGCGTTTAGTTTTTTTTTTCTTGTATTTTCTTTTCTTTGAAGACTCTTAAAAGATTTGCTAAATGTTAAGATGGAAATGTGTTTCAAAGTACTGAAATAAAAAAGACATTGAGATAGTGTCAAAAACACACAAAACTTAAAATACTGTTGAAGATTATGTCTGTCAAAGTTTCTATAAACAAACAAACAAAATCATAACACTTTTACTAAAACTTTTCAGAATGATAATGGTTAAAGTTTAAGGAACGAAATGATCATTTCAAATTTGTAAGACTTTACAAGTTAGTTAATAATATTGCACTGGCTTTTCTATATCCAGTGCATTCATTTTTAACATGATTTGACTTTCACTTAACATGAAGCAACCAACTTTGTTTTCAGCATGTTTGTATTCCCAGCTGGATTGTATTGAGCAACCGCGGCAGCATATTTTGATTCTGTACTTTCCCTCTTCTTACCTCTGACCAAAACAAAATCACATACTTGTACGTCTTTAAAACAACACATTTTGTTTCCATAGCCAAACAAAAAAAAAAAACATGAGTGCATCTGGAAATAATTACTCAATAGCTGAATATAATGATTTAACATTCATCTGTGTTTAGGACAGAAATACTTCTGTAATATCATCACTAACAGCACAAGCTTAAAGCACTTTTTGAATTATATTTCTTCAGCAATCAAAGCAGAAAAAACTGCTAGCAACAACACCCAGCAGAGCGCTACTGCACCAAATTACCAATAGAGGGAGCAAGTACACCACCAACTCTTCACTCCTCCATGTGTCTGCATTCATGCCCCATGATGTAAGAAGCACACTCGCTCTGTACCCTCAAGAGTGCCGTCATGCTCAAGTCTTCTGAATAATCTTTGCCTGGTCAGCGGCTAACAGGAATCCGCAGCAAGAATGCAAGGCAGTGTGTGCTTGTGTGCATGTGCGTGTCCACTTGGATTCTTAATGGTATGAAAGGACTGCATAGAAACCCACACATAGGCTCTTTGAGGTCAGGAGCTATTGACACAGAGCTGCTTTATATAAAACATACCCATGGAAATCATTTCCATGGTCAGCTGAAATGCTGAAACACCTCGGCTGGCGGTGCACAGATCCGATAAGTATAAACGCAGCTTTTGATTCAGTGGAATAAAACTAACATCCAAATGACAGGGCTAATTTCATTCAGCCAGCAGAGAACCATGTGGACTTTTCCCTTCTGTTTATAGAAGAAAATTCATCTATTTTGAACTGTATTGTAGCCTATCTATATAAAGAGGCATTGTATGGAGGCCCATAAGTGCCAAAAAGTCTTTAGATTGAAAACTGAAAATTAACTGTCAACACCTTTTCACCGAATTAAGGTGGAAATTTTATTATTGTTACTATTTTACATGTAATGTGTATTTATATAGCACATTTATCGTGTATGACCATATACCCAAAGCACTCATGAGGGGGGTTACATTACCACCATTGTGCAGCATCCACTAGGATGATGCGATGGCAGCCACAGGACAATGGCACCTGTGCGCTCACCACACACCAGCTATAGGTGGAGTGGAAAGATAGTGATAGAGTCAATTCAGTGTATGGAGAGGCCATGTTTGTTTGTTCGTTCATCTTCTGACGCTTTTCCAGGGCCGGGTCGCAGGGGCAGCAGTCTTAGACACTTCCTCCAGCTCCTCCGGGTGGATCCTGAGGCGTTCCAAGCCGAGAGACATTGTCCCTCCAGCGTGTCCTGGGTCTTCCCCGAGGCCTCCTCCCGGTGGGACATGCCTGGAACACCTCCCTAGGTAGGCGTACAGGAGGCATCCAAAACAGATGCCCGAGCCACCTCAGCTGACTTCTCTCGATGTGGAGCAGCAGCGGCTCTACTCCGAGCTCCTCCCGGGTGTCAGAGCTCCTCACCTTATCTATAAGAGTGCGCCCAGCCACCCTTCGCAGGAGACTCATTTCAGCCGCTTGTATCCGAGATCTTGTACTTTCGGTCATGACACAAAGCTCGTGGCCATAGGTGAGAGTAGTAACAGAAATTTACCGTTAAAATCGAGAGCTTTGTCTTTCTGCTCAGCTCATTCTTCACAACGGACATGTACATCGACCGCATTACTGCTGCCGCTGCACCAATCCGCCTGTCAATCTCACGTTCCATCTTTCCCTCATTCGTGAACAAAACCCCGAGATACTTAAACTCCTCAACCTGGGGTAAAGACTTTCCTCCAACCTGGAGATGGCAAACCACCTTTTTCCGGTGGAGCACCATAGCTTCGGACTTGAAGGTGCTGATTCTCATCCCAGCCGCGTTAAGGGCAGATGAAAGAAATTTGGCCAGGACACGAGAAGTGCCATGAGATTTTTAATGACCACAGACAGTCAGGACCTCGGTTTAACAACTCATCCAAAAGATGGCGCTTACTGACAGTATAGTGTCCCCTTTATTATACTGGGGCATTAAGACTCACACAGAACGCAGGTTGAGCGCCCCACTGCTGGACTCATTAACACCACTTCTCACAGAAACCTAGTTTTCCCATGTGCTCGCCCATCCAGGTACTGACCAGGCTCACCCCTGCTTAGCTTCAGTGTGTAACTGGTCTTGAACTAAAGGGTGATATGGCTGCACACAGATTTTCTCTGTACTGACAAAAGGTAAACAGAGGCAACATATGGAAGTTTCTAGGGGCAAAAAAGTCTATAAATGAAATGCCTGAAATGTATTTGAATTGTGGCATTCAATTTTATTTAGTAATACTTTTTTTTCTTAAGTGCAGATATGCATCGGTAAACCCTGATGTTTGCATTCAAATGCGTCAGTATTACAAAATTCTTCTACAAATAATTAAAATGAATGGCATTTGATTTTAATTTATGCAAATCCCAATGTGCCACTGTCACATATGCTAAGCAAACCCTTAGAAAAATGAGTAATGGCTTAATCATGGTAAATTCAACCATGTTTATTTACTGTATTATAGGCATTATAGGTATCATAGGTATTATATTGTATTTATTATAGCCATATTTATTGGCAATAGGCTCTATGCTTAGAGCTAGTGTTTTTCAGCCAATGATAAACTTTTGGTGAAAGCTTAAGGTGACCATTTACAAATTCATAAAGTTCCTTTTACAGCATCGATGTTGTAATGTATTTACAATGCATTCAGTTAAATAAACTTAAGCATTCATTTAGTTTTCAAGCGTAC